CAGGTATGCGAATGACCTCATCCGCGTGTCGCCCCGGTTCGTGGGAATGGGGTGGCATGCGCGGTGGTGACTCGGGACCTGGGAAAAGAGCTCCGGGGCTCAGCCGCGCCTCGGGATGGCGGGTTGGAGGGTCCTTATCCTGCTGTTGCCCCGAGAGAGCTGAGGAGCTGAGGGAGCCGCCGGCGCGCCTGCCCCGAACTTTGTATGTACGTCGGAAGAGGCTGAGGAGGGAGCAGCGGGTGGATCTAATTCGGGCAAACGATCTCCCTGCAGAAGCTCCGCAGGTGCCTTGGCTTTTGCCGTCGTCGGAACCCGGTGGGGCAGACGCGTGTCCGGCAGAGTGGGCTTCCTCTCTCGTGAGAAAGGAGCGCGGGTTACCCGTCCCTTCCTGATGAAGAGAGGCTCCTTTTTTTCTATAAGCGTTTTTGCTCTGACTTGGGGTGGTTAGAAGAACTTGAGGATCGGCTGGCGGGTTGTTTGAACGCAGCCGGTGAGGCTGCCGAGCAAGAAGACGGAGCAGGCAAGGAAAGGGGGTGTGGTGGGAAGAGGAAAGAGAGCCCAAGCGTTAGTCCCGTTAAGGGAAGACCGGGAATGGTGGCTTCCCGCAGTGTCCTCGGACTGCACTTCCAGTTATGCCTGGGCAGCTGATGGGAGTTGAGTCGAGCAGCGTCCGGACAGCCTCCTCCTGCCCCAATTCCCTGTTTAATGCTGGGCGTGCTGGGTGGGCCCCTTGCGGCTGCTTAATCTGACCCACCTTGGAGGGTTGTTGTGATGATAAAATTAGAACGAGAGTGTGGAATTGAGACATGGCATGCAGGGGGGTTAATGGGCATGGGGTGCCGTTCACAGCCGGTTTTTGACTGGAGCACCTTTTTGTCGTCGCATGGGTCGCATGGGTTTTTGTGCCTTTGAGTCAATGTTGGCTCCAGGCAACTGCCTGGCCAAGTCCCTCCAGTTTTCTTGGCAAGGTTTCAGAAGTGTTTTGCCTGGCCTTTTTCTCTCTAGGGCCGAGAGGGAGGACTGGCCCAAGGTCGCCCCGCTGGCTTCGTGCCCCAGGCCAGACTAGAACTCCTAGTCTCCCGGTTGGTTTGTGGGCTGGTGCCTTCACCACTAGACCAGACCAGCTCGCTCACAAGCACCTTATAAGCCTTGTAAAATAAATAAAACTTAGTTTGCCTGGTCCTGGGCAGGCGGGTTGGGGAAACAAAGGTTGCCAACTTCCCAGCAAAACTTGACTTCAGAGCCCCCATTTGCTTTGCTGGTTCTAAGGGAGAGAGCTTCCTTCCTCCTACCCCCATTGGCAAGACCGTGATTTTGAGCGGCTCTTTGCAACAGGTTTCCGCAGTTTAAAGCTGTCCGGTTGTGGGGGACTGTGACTCCCTCCCAGGGAGCGTTAGCAAACGTTGAGGGATGCTGCGTCTCTGCCAGCTACGCGGCCTCTTTTTTAAAAACAAACAGGCAGGCAAAAGAATGCCCAGCTCTTATTAGGTCCATCTCAGCCAGTTTTAGATGCCTGGCGGGGGTATCTGCAGGGTATGGTCAAAAAAGGCAAGATGGCAGCCACCGTGGCCTCAACAAAGCTTTGCCTGTCTTTTTACGTGCGTTGCAAAGGTGGCTTTATTGGTGGGTCTGTATTTTGAATTCTGGATTTGTGTTTTATTGGCCTGAGACTGTAAATAAATTCAGTTCAGATATTATGAATGTACTGTACTATCCCCAACTCCAGCTCCAGTAGTTAAGAAAGCAAGGAGTTGCAGTTCAGCATCTGGGGGGGGTTCCCCACCAGTCCCCCAAATCCTGCTCTTTTTTAATTTGCTGTATTGCAGTCAAAGGCGCATGAATGTGCAGGCAGGAAAAAAAGGAAGTTATAAAGTGGGGGACCTTAGCCTCCTCCTTTGAGCTGACAAGGCCCCTCGAATCTGAATGACACTGATAGGCATCTGACAGGTGTTGGGTTTCACTGCAGTTGCACCACAGTCACAGTTGGTGCTTCTTGGTCCCTAAAAATGGCATCCTGTCGCTGGGTTGGGTGAGGGAGAGAGGGTGAGCCACAGAATTGGCACGAGCCCCTTTCTTGCCATGTCTCCTTTCACAATCCCTGCTTTGTCCGCTGCACAATTATCAACATGAACAAGGGAAGGGGGAAAGTATCCTGTTCAAGTTTTGGGGAGTTCAAATCCCTACTGGGGGAGGGACCCTGGAGGGACCCTGGAGCCGGTCGAGCTGTTGCGGACATGGAGGGGCTCCTGCAAAGGGTTGATGGGGTTGGGGGGCTCAGTTGCTCTGCTTTGCAGCGGTGCGCTTACGGCCAGCAATGCCTGCTTTTGCCTTCTCTTGCTCCTCTCCTGGGGAGTTTCCCCTCCTGGCTGAAGATGCTGCTTGCTCCTGGCAGACTCCAGAATAGGCTTTGTGAGTTGGTAGTGGGATTGGCCGCTTTGCACAGGACTGGTGTGGCGGGGCTTTGTTTTGTGATCTTGCAACTCCATCTCTGCCAGTTAGGACAAAATGTCTGGTTCTTTTTCTCTCCCCTCTCCAAATGTTCTCCTGTTGTGCCACGTGGACATGTAAATTCGTTGAGGCTGGTTTGTCTTTTTCCTGTTGGCAGAGAGATCTCTTTGGAGCAGAGATGCTGTCCCTGAGAATACCAAGAATATGAGAAATTGGGACATCGTGCAACCTTGAAATTCAGGGCTGGCTGTGCAGGCTGGCATCAGCTTTTCAGCTTTTCATCTGCCTCGAAACATCTTGGCCATTTGTCTCTGTGCTGAATGTAGCTTTGTCTCTGGCACCGCGCACAGAAGGGGCCGCAGCTTGGCTCAGATGCTGCCCGTTTCACAAAGTAAACTCTTCCCTTTTGACCAGCCGGATTTGATTCTTTGATCCTGACAGGGTGGGAGGGTCTTGTGCCATCTTTCCCCTGACACCCTTTAAAGACAGTCAGAAATTTGGGCTAAGAAAAGGGCTGGGTCCCTCTGGGAGAACACATGTGCGAGCCAAGATCGCAGTGCAATGCCTGGACCATGGCTGTTAATGGGTGGGAAGTACAAATAGAGAGTCTTTACATAGTGTGCCAAGTCCTAATGTGGTTTTAGCTTCATGCAATGTGCAAACGCAGGCTTTGTGGCATGGTCGGCAACCCACAGTTAAAAAGGAATCATGGCTTGGTGTGAAGTATGATCCTAGTCAGTGTGTAACCATGGGTCAGTTCTCTACCCAAATAGCTTGGGATGTCATGCTCAGCCATAATGTGGCTTATTAGTTTTTTGGGCTTATTATGTTATTGCAAATCACAAACTTTGCTTTATGGCTCGGTGCAAAGCTAGCCATTGTGGCGAACTTCAGTAACTGTGGTTAAGCAAAGTATGGCTTACTACAGTGGGTGAGGTGAGCTAGTTGACTGTTCTAAAGCCTAAACAAGGATTTCGTCACAAAATGCATTAGACATTTGATCCTGCCTTACCGTTGTGGGTCTCCCAGTGGTAGTGGTGTCTCCAGGGTAAAGGCAACAAAGTCAAGATGGCAGCCATGTGCAAAGTATTGCACGTAAAAAGCGGGCAGAGCTTTGATTGCACCATCGTGACGACCATGTTGACTTTGTTGCCCATACCCTACAGCCACCTCTACTCTGGTAGCTTAGATTTTTCTTCTGGTTCTCCTTGTCCCCCTTCATTCTCTGCTGCCCCTTTCCAAGCCTGACTAGAAAATAAGCATGTAACACTCCCTAACTGGGTTTAGGGCCATTCAGTGCAATCCCAACATTTTACTGCTCCTGTCTGGAACAGCGTTTGGCAAAGTCCTGTGTTTGGCAGTGTCCCCCCGTTGCTCTGCTTGCTCTGCTATAAAAGGAGCTTTTTAAGGTGGCTTCTCCAAACTTGTACAAACAGTTTTAAGTGGGCACATCGCTCGGGCCAAACGGCCAGGCCAAGGGCGAGGGGAGGAAATGAGATCGCTCTGAAAAGGGGCTGTGTTGAGAGGAAGTGTGCGTTGGCAGCAGGGAACGTCGGGAACTGCGGGCAGCTTGTAGCCCTCCTCTGTGAACTTGGTGTTTGCAGACTGCCATCAGCCAAGTGGGTTGCAGCTTGGCTGGGACCATTTGGGGCTGGGCTGAAGTCAGTTGCCTGCCATGTGCCTGGAGAGGCCAGAGTTGGGGGGGCTTTTTCTGAGGAAGGACTCTTGCACCCAGTCCTCTGCGGGTCACAGACGGGGAGCAGATAGGCTTCCCAAGGCTTCCACCCAGCCTGGCTCAGACTGTGGGCTGCTGGGAATGGTAGTTTAGCAACCTCTGCGGGCCCCCAAGTTCTTACTCGTGACCTGAGCTATCCTCCCAAACCTCTCACCCCCTAAACCATTATGACTTAAAAAAAA